CCATCCACCAGCAGACACACACACCAACACCTCACCTAACACCCACACACCTCACTCTAACACCTCACACACACACTAACACCTCGCCACACACCAGCAGACACACACCAACACCTCACACACACCAACACCAACACCTCACTAGCAGACACACAATACCCAACACTCACTCTAACACTCACACACACTCTAACACTCACTCTAACACTCACTCTAACACTAACACTCACTCTAACACTCACTCTAACACTCACACACACTCTAACACTCACACACTAACACTCACACGTTTAAAAAAAAAAAAATTAATCCTCCCTTTTGGAGTGCTGGGGGGATTCCCTGGGGTCCAGTGGTGCTCCTGGGCGGGTGGCTGGTCGGTCAGGCGCGCGCCGTGTAGGGATGCCGGCGCCGTCATCTTCCGGCTCCGGTATCAGTGCGGTGCGCGAGGGAGCTGAAGAGGAAGCACTGAGTGCTCCCTCGCACGTCCGCCTGCCCGACCGGCCACCCGCCCGCCGGGGTCAGCAGGGCCAGCCTCGGGGGGCCCTGGTGTGGTCGGCTCCTGGGCCCCCCAGGGGAAGAGGTTGGCCCAGTGGGTACACACTGGGTCGCAGGGGCGGCCGGGCCCCCTGGTGGGCCGGGCCCAGTCGCAGCCGTGACCCCTGCGACCCTGGTATGTACGCCACTGCCTGTGAGAGAACTCATGGGTGGGCCATGTAGGTGGATTTATGGGTGGGCATTGAAGGCATACTCACGGTCAAGCCCTGGCACTGCTTCCTGTTCTACACCAAACCTGTGGAGCCAGACTGAGCCCATCATCAGCCTCTTGTCCTCATCTGGTGGTAAGTAGGCAATCCAATATATTATTAGTGGCACTAATCTCTACTTTACCTCACATTAAATGGATACTATAGTCACCAGAAGCACTACAGCATAATGTAGTGGTTCTGGTGTCTATAGCCTGTGCCTGTAGGCTTTTTAATGTAAACACACTGTCTTTTCAGATAAAAGACACTTTGTGAAGACTGGCGTTGGCTCATATGGCAGAGCATATGGGCGGGGCATTGTGATGTCACATGGTGGGCAGGACATATGGGGGGCGGCAAATTTTTTTTTGCCTAGGGCGGCAAAAATCCTTGCACCGGCCCTGCTAAGCAGACAGCTCCCTGAGCTTGGCATAAATGGTTCTAATGATTCACTAGCTCTATGCTTTCTAAGGACTGTCCCTTAGCACTCACGTGTCCACTCGTCTCCTTACCTTCTTACTAGCAGGCAAAAGCTCCTGGTTTATAGTCTGGAACAGAGAAAAGGTGTGTGTAGAAGAAAGGGGACATGCAACAGTGTTACAGAGAAAACAACCATACAGCACCCACACACATACACAGCACTCACACACATACAGCACCCACACACATACAGCACCCACAGACATACACAGACCAAAGTCAGCCATTATCTTAACTTATTTCCTTATCAGCCAGTCCACACAAGTTTTGTTCCCCTACATCTTCTTAAGGTTCCATACTTAAGCAAGAGTATTTGAAAAATAGTGTGTAAAAAAATAAATAAAAAAGTTTTTTTTTTTTTTAATCATTAGGCCTATACTATGAGCATGGGCCTGGAGCTGCAGCTCCATTAGTCCCTATGTTAATCCAACCCTGCCCTTTAAGCCCAACCTTTCTAAGGTCCGGTAATACGTAACTATGCTTTTCTTTGTACTGTGTGACTGTTCTGCATGTTGGGTTGTTTTCTATCGTGACACTTGTCTACAGTAATTAATCTCATATGAAGGATTCTGCCAAGTTCACCAATAATCCTAGACTTGCCACAGCATTTAGGACTGAAACTCTTTCAATGATTCATCGAAATTATTAGAGGTGTTTTGTCAGAGATGTTTATAAATTTCCAGAATCAATTAATATTTTGACCAGACGTGAAATATTCTTCTGAAACGCAAATTGCATTTAGTATACAGTATAGAAGAAAGTATTTTTATCTGCCCAAGTGTTAGTTCACTCAGGTAGCTCTCTCAACTATAAAGTCATCTTTGAAATTGAAGGCAATAAGTTATATAGTATATCGGTAAGTTATATTCTATTACATTTTACGACATATGATATGAAAAAATGATCTTGTAGTTTTTCTTTTAATGGTATATAGTTTAGGGTAATTAAATACTTTGACATTTTTGTTAATTTGTCAAGACAGAAGAGTAGTGCTTTCATTGGGGTGGGAAATCCCTAGAAAATGTTTGTGCAGTGTGAAAGTGTTTAATAATTCTCTCTGTTTCATAGGGACTTTACTATGGGATTTTTTTTTACAATTATATTAGTTTTGTCAAAAACAATAAACATGACGTGGTCATCAATGCTCACACAAAGTCAAAGTAAATACAATGGTAAAAGGAATGAGTACGTCAGGATACATGAGTGAGGCACTGTCGCTGTCTTCTGCCAATATCAAACACACTGTGTATATCAGACCTATATGCAGTAAGCTCATACGTAACATGGACTAGAATATCAATACTTCATTGGCTTAGAGTAAAATAAAAAGTAAAGGGGTAAAAAGGAAGTAAAAAAGGATACCCATGCTGCAGTATATCATGTAAAACCATATGGAATAGGGGTCAATAAGCAAAGAAATATAACTCTTAAAGTATAAAAACAGATAAGAAGTTCACCATGTGCCTTCTAATATATATTTTAGATAACAATATTTCCCACCTGCCACCTGGTTAGAGTGGAGTACCTTGATATTCATGTTCTGGTATGGTGCGAATACCTAGGTAGGTTGTCCCGGTTATCGTATGTATTTGAATTAGCCACTTGGAAGTGTTTTAGCCAGAGGGACCAGACTGTCATGTTTCCTCCCTAGAGATGACCAATGTATCTCTTCATTAGAGCATAGAACCTCAACCCTTGGTACTCCACTGAGCGTCTCTTAGTCTGTTTCCACAAGTGTGGGATAAGAGTGCTTGCAGAGCCCAATAATATCCATAGTAGTGTCTGTTTGTGTGGCTCTTTGAAGATCCGTGGCCATTCCAGTAGTGCATGAGAGGGTAAGATATTGTATTAAATAGGTAGGATTTCCTGGATTAATTTAATAAACTTCCCTGCTGGAAGGGGAAGGTCCATGGGTATTTCGTTATTTTTCTTTGCATTACGTCTGTCAAAAGAGTTTCAATCAATACCCAAAACTTCTTGTAACGTTGTGGCGGCATTCCCACGTGGCATTGGGAATGCCGCCAATATATAGTTATCTTCTCCTGCAGCGCCCGCTGGTCTAACTCCGGGCACGGTTTCGGAGCTGACGGGCACCCCTCCCCTTACACAGTGGCCCGGTCTGAAATCATTAGAGACGCCGGCCGCTGCAAGTCAGAACCTTTTAAGATTCTTAGTTACCCCTTAGTCCCTAACCACTAGGAATGTGCATGTGACGTCATACACGCATGTTCCACTGTCACATGCTCCTCTGCAGCCAAACAAAGAGCACCTTAGGCTATTTAAAATTCCTATAAGGATCCCTGCTACAAATTTCTCTAGGTTTGTAAGTATTCGCTTAATAAAGGGGATCTGATGGGTATTGGGAGCATATATGTTAACAAAGGTAAAAGGAGCATTATTTATATAGCCCTTAAATAAAAGGAACCGCCTTGTGGGTGTGAGAGACTGTCTACGTGTGTAAAGATGGTTGTGTTATAGAATATGATAGCTACGTAGCATACATTTGTTTTGGATCAGGCAAAATCTTTTTTCAGGGGTGTCCAACCCCTTAGCGTTGAAAGACATAAAGTGGATTTGAGTCATAACTATTTTGATTTTGACTTGTCCTTGCCTATTTTCCATTCTATAATACTTGGCCTTAGCTTGTCACTCTGTTACTGTTACCATCAGTTGTCATCGACCTGGGCTACTGACCTCTAACCTTATTTTTATTTTTGTACTAGTGTTAAGCTCAGCAAACCCAATGCCCCTGTCCATTTCTATTTCTACCTTGCACTAGACGTGACCTAAGTTCTGAGGGTCGGGCCTGGTGTTATCTTGACGTGATCTAGGGAGGCTCCCACAGTCTTGCAGGATTCGCAGAAGACCTCAATATTGTCCTTTTTCATGTGTTGACATATGCAAGTGAGATCTTATTTACTAAAGTATATATAATTTTATAGGCATTAATTTCCTTGCCTCTTCATTAGTCCAGCAGGCTTGTCCCTTCTCTTGTGAGGGCACTTGCACACTTGGTGTGAGGGAGGTAATGGTTATATATGGCACTCATTTAGTCACACTCTCAAGCATATAAGTTTGTAAAGACATTGCTATACTGTATTTACACTGGTTGTTTTATGTATTGTTCTGATATAGTATTTTTCTATCTTTAAGGACAGTCCCTAACAAATGGCCTTTTATCTTACGGCTTATATTTTTTTCCCCATCTTATTTTGATTACTTGTTTTTTTATTAATGGCCAGGAGCCACCATGTTCTTGTCTTTGTGTTCTGGCTCATGGGAGGGAGATTGATCAAACATTTAATTTTTCTGAGACCTCAATCAAGTTGACGGCCAATAACATTTTATGTTAACTGCCTCTATGGCCCTAGCTGAGTACCAACGCCTCATTGCAGGACTTACATCCAAGAAACATATTAGTGCAAACTCTGCTCATATATCCTATCTATTTCAGTAACTACTCAATCTAAATCTTAAGATGTGACCATCCTATTTGTAGCTCAGCTACCATTTACTTATAAAGCTCAACTGTGCGAGAATCAGGGTACATTTCTTTATTTCAAAGGCTTGATTGGAACCACCATGGTTACGTTTGCCAATGTGTATTCACAAACAGGAGACGATACTCAGTGTTTAGAGAAATGTTATGTACACTGAAACACTTCAAGGAAGTACTGCTGGATTGGGACAATGCAATGTTAATCTAGCGTCGGGTCCAGCCACCGGCTCATTCACCCAGTGTAGACAACTTAACGTTTCATCCGAATAGGTTCTTTACTGGAGAATAAGGCACCCCACTGAGAAAGACTATTCATTTTATTGACCAGAGGACTGTAAATACACTACACTTGCTCCCTGCCACATAGAATTCTTCATCTCATAAAAGCAGCAGACTATGGCACTATTACACAGTCCCCTTATTCCTCCAACTCACTGCACCAGCAATTCCTACCTTAACTATGCAATGGATGTTCAACGATAGACTCCTAAATGACAGAGCTATAGTCTCGCAGATCAAGGACATCATTGTCCAATATTAAAGGAAAATACTTCCCCAGATGTATCACCCCCCGAGCATGTGGGAGGCACATAAATGTGTAGTACCAAGGATGCTAATTAGTTAGTGCCAACCTCAAGAAAAAAATATTTACATCCAAAACAACAATAATGATTTACTGAATGAGATACATGATCTTGATACCACACACAGATCGGGCCATTCTTATCTAACATATAAACAGTGTGACAGTGTCACTGGGGGCAGGTTAATAAATGGTAGGTACGTATGCCCTGCTTCTACGCTTAATACTTGTACCAGTTTCAACAGCTGCTTAATTGAAGCAGCACTGTCATCCCCACCTGAAAAATTAGTATTTTATTAAGATAGAATCTTTATGAAATACTCATTATGACTGTGTTGGAATTCCACTGAAATGCCAACCCAGTCAAGAGATATACAGAGACAAAGCAGATACTACTTTGTTTCTGTATTTCTCCTCAGCCTGACTTTCTTTGACATAAGGCGGCGCTAAAAAGTCAATCCATGCAGCCATTATCAGTGACAGCTGCAGGGAATTGGCTGTGTCTATGGAGGATCCCGTGCCCCCATAGACATCAATGAGGTACTCTCGTGCATGACGGTGACAGTGCTGCTTTAAAAGGACACTAAAGGCACCCATACCACTTTCACTCATTGAAGTGGTGTGAGTGCAGTGTTCCTGCCCCCAGTGGTGTATCCTGGTTTTGTGCTGCCCTAGGCAGGACAAAACTCAGGCGCCCCCCTCCCCTCGCGCCACCCCCATCTTCTAAATACACACACACACAGAACGACACACACACAGTCAGACACAAACACACACACACAGTCAGACACACACACAGTCACAAACAGACACACACACACAGTCAGACACACAGTCAGACACAAACACACACACAATCACTCACATTAACACTTTTTTTTTTAATTTAAACCCCCCCCCAACCTCCTTACCTTTGGGAATGCTGGGGGGGTGTCTCTTTCTCCCTGGTGGTCCAGTGGCTGCCGGTCGGGCTGGGTGGGCGGCGCTGGCTGCTCTGCGGGCGGCTGACGAGGGAGCTCTTCCTCTGAGCACTCTGCTCAGCTCCCTCGCGCGCCGCATAGTGAGGCTGGGAGCCGGAATATGACAGAGTGCTCAGAGGAAGAGCTCCCTCGCCAGCCGCCCGCACAGCAGCCAGCGCCATCCGCCCAGCCCGGCATGTCTGTTAGCCGTGAGGCAAACAAGGCATTTGCCCTGGGCATTTGGGGGGGGGGCGTTTTTTGCCGCGCCCTGAATAATGCCGCCCAAGGCAAATGTCTTGTTTGCCTCGCGGCTAATACGTCCCTGCCTGCCCCCCTTAGTCCTGTAATATAAATCATTGCAGTTTTTGAGAAACTGCAAATATTACATTTCGGGACAAAGACTGCCTCTAATGACATTCAATCAGCCACTAGAGGCACTTCCTGGTGGTTAAGTGACTTTTGGTCACCTAATGGACGCTGGACATCCTCACACGCTGCATGAGGACATCCAGCGTCAGTAATATCCCCAGAGAAAATTACTGAAGCAATGCTTTCCTATAGAGATGGCCTAATGCGTTTGCAGCCTCAGTAGCCGCACTACGTGAATGCAACATGCTCCTGATTTATATCATTCAATGGGACCATGGAAAAACATAAAATGTGTTGAAAGGTTTTTTTTTACAATCACCACCTTATGTCTGATGAGATGGCAACGAAACTATATCAAAAAGTTTAAAGGAACAAACAAGCTATCCCAATAAAAATGTTTATTTAAAAAAATATATACTTTTTTTTTTTTAATGTTAAAAAGTAGCAGCAAACATTCCCTGATACACACGAAATGTAAATAAAAATTTCAAATGCTTTTTCTATTGATGCTGGGGCACTGATAACAGTTAGTGTAGACCAGGGGTAGGCAACCTTCAACTCTCCAGATGTTGTGGGCCACATCTCCCTTAATGCGTTGCTAGCATAGCTGTAAGAGCATTATGTGAGATGTAGTTCACAATCTATGGACTCCAATTCTGTGGGAGGAAACTATTACAAATAATATTTTGTGAGAATTATGGATTTTTTAAAATAATTGTATTAATATTAGAAATACTAATTGTGAAATGTAATATTTAACATTAATTTGAAAATAAATATTACTATGAATATTAATATGGTGGAATTAAAGAACCATGCCCACAATTTTAATTTAAAGAGATACCTACTATTTTATCTCTGATCCTAAATTTTGTAGTCCAACCGAATTTTATAATCCAATACAATATAGCATACAATAGCTATAAAATATTTTCAAAGAATAGATAGAAAGTACATTATTTTTATTAGTTTTTGTGGTAACTGCATACCATCAACCTGTGCCTGTTTTAAAACCATGTAAATCAACCCATTCATGGAGAATCTGTTCCGAATTCCACAGAAAATATTACAATTTATAGAATTGGCCATTCTCTCCAATAAAGCATTTTCATCCATCACCCTTATTATTTACCTTAAGTTCAGTGATTCTGAGAAACGTACCTATTCACACCGATAACGTTACCCTGTGATTGTGCTTAGTCTAGGCATAATTTATTGGACCCAGGTGAAAGACACATTCTTTGTGAGATTATGGTCCCATGCCATGAAAATCTACAGATTCACCCTTGTAATCTGACTGTTCAAAGTGAGACCACGGGAATCTACACATCATTTTAGGAACCCAGGGAACCTGTGAATCTAGATTCAATCTATGTTAAAAATCATCATGTAAACAAGGATTAAGCTCAGATTAAACCTTCAATTATGATACTGGCCTTTCCATTTGCCTCTGAGCCACTATTTCACTATAAATAGTTTGTCTAATGCTCAGCATGTCTTTGACATCTTTGTGTGACATTATTTCTTCTATTGAAAGTAATTTTGTGTCACCAAGTTGTACTAATGATTTTGTCTGTAAGCTATTCAGCATTTGCATGGACACGTCAACAGATTTTTGTAAAGTAGGAAACCCAGGGAATATGCGGGCATTCCATAAACTCAAATTTCTTTGGTCTCCAGAGAAGAGGTGATCTGTAATCATGATGCCCCAGTAGTCCAAACACTCTTTAAGACCCTTTCCAAATATCCTAAGGGAACTCAGTTCCGACAACGAGGTGACGCTCTTCTTCAAATTGTCTTCTATACCAAACACTATGGTTGCATAGATTGCTTGTCCATCAGTCATCAAACCTAATGAACTAATAAAGGTTTTGTCTGGTATATCAATTCTACAGCTGACAGAGGTGTTACTTATAATACAGTGTTTTCCTACAGTAACTTCGGGACCTAGCCTGGAATATTCAACTACAGAACAAGGCGACACACAAGTCTTGGTATCCAGTACACTTTGAATGACACATGCTTTCTCATTACCTTTTTTTTCAAATTGACCTGGAAAAATACTGAAAACAGTGGACTCTAATCCAAGCTCTGCCCTGAGTATGCTATCTGAAGTGAAATGGTATAAATACTCTTGCATTGTTCCAACGTGGTAGAACTTTGAGTTATTTAACACAATGACAGTAAATGGAGTACCTCTTAGGAGAAAATAGATCTGTTTCCTGACTTCGATTAATTGAGATTCTGCTTTCGAAACATTAGCAATATTTTTAGTGTATTCTAAAGTAGCGTTTGGACCGAGAGCTTGTAGAAAGTCCCCATATGCATCAATTTCACATAAAATGCTCCCCAACTCTTGAAAGAAAGTGACCAACAAGTTGGCTGTACTGTGATCCATGTAAAACAAACTATCTGTATAAACCACTTGAGCAGTAAGCTGTGCGCCTGTACAGTCTACTTGGGAGGAAGACTTGTGACTATGTATTGCCCCGGTTTCGCGCATCTTTTCAATGGAAGGTTTATGAAGGTATGACTTGCAAGATCTGTAATCAAGTTCTTGGTGTGCAGAGTTGGGTGGATCTAGCACGAACACCCCATGAGTAGTACCTATACTGAGTGATGATGGGTGAGCAAGGGCAATTATACCACTCCTGTCAAATTTCACTTGGGAATCCCCGCTACTGTAAAGCTCGATGTCATCTGCACAGGTTATCACGACTCCTGGGTTCATATTGGTAGGAAAGTCAATGTATATGGCTAACTTTAACTCTAGCATTTGGTATATTGGATTTCCAAGAGGCATCGCTGTGAAAATTTTCCCCAGAGCACTGGCACTTGGTAAACGTTGGCTGTAACCACCTAAACGAAAAAAACAAAACACAATGGAATCAAAATAAAGGCCACTTTTTTTGAATAAAATATATCATATTAGCCTAATTAAAGTTCATACTCTGAAGTTCAGATGGTTTTGAAAACAAAATATCTTCTTATCCCTCAGCTAGTTCTTAGCATCCTTAAACTACATATTAAATTAACTTTTATATTTGTTCCCACCTCCCTCTTCTGTTTACATTTCCTGATTCCACTTCCTCAGAGTTTTCTCTTCTCTACCAAGATATATCAATTTCAGCGCCATTTATGCTCCTAATATATATGAAGAGTAAGTTGCGAGACACACTAGTGTTTGGAAGGCAAGTAATTATGACTTCACGTAGCACAGTATTACCTCTACTAAACGTCTACACAAAATGATTTGGGGCACGGGAGCTAAAACCAAAGTGTTTTTATCAGCCAACCAGAAGACCTGAATTTTTATTTTCTGATCATTTGCCATGCCAGCTTAAACTAAAGGTTAGCTTCTCCCCTCACAGTGGCAAAGACAAGAAACAGAATTGAAATTAGTATAAACCATCCCTTTCCTATCAGCTGGTCTTCGTAACTAGCTTTATATCACTTAGAGGAAGGGTGGGAACAGAATGCTGCCATGGTGCACTGAGCATTCTCCTCTTACCAGTGCAGGCACCTGCCTACCAGTGCATTGTTGGCAGGGGTATTGTGTGGCAGGTGCGTGCTCCGTGACTTCTTGAAGTGGTTGCAGAGTAGGCGGCGAGTGGGTTGCTGATTGCTCCATCACGTGCCTTGTACTTATGCTTGAAGTTAGGATGAAATGTCACTTCAGCCCTGGCATCAATACAGAGCTGCATTGAGCTGGGTAATTAGTAGATATATCCTATCAGCAAACCAATGGACCCCATGGATGAGTTTCAACTTCAGATGCCTTTCATGGTAAGAATAGAAAGGCTGGGTGAACCCCACTGTGACCTGCTTCCCCCCATTACCCTTCCCATTACCCCTCCACCCTCTCCTCACAATAAATAAACAAATAAAATGACATTTAAATGCGTGGGTGTGTGTATGAATCTTTGTGTGTGTTTATGTCTGTGTGTTTATAAATGTGTGTTAATATTTAAAAGTCTGTGTGTGTATGAGCCTGTGTATATGAGTTTGTGTGAGTCAGTGTGTGAGAATATGAGTCTGTGTGTGTGTTTGTGTATGAGTTTATGTTGACGTATAACAACGTGTGCGTTTATGTCCATATGTCTATAGGAATGTAAGTATGGATTGCCTATAACTGTCTATGTACATGAATGTGCATGTTAATTTCCCTAAAATAAGGAATGGGGGAAGGGGAGGGTGTTCATGGTGAGACAATATAAATAAATACACAGTCCGGGCACAGGATCCAAAATACATTTTCACCCTGGGTTCCATGTAACCCAAGTATGCTTCTGGGAGAGACACAGATCAGATATAGATAACAGACACAAACAACACTAATGAACTGCAAGAAAATCTAAAAAAAAACCCCCATAAAAACCTGTTGAGTAATCAATGGGACATCCACACTATGCTCAGTGTACTACCAGGGTATCTTTTTAAACTCATGGAAATACTGAATCACCCCTCTTGTAGGTGGTTTTCTTCCCTGTGTGTTTGTGAAACAGTGAAAATAAGCATTATTAGAGAAGGAACTTAAAATCTGACACAGCCTGGAAACTACCAAGATATTTAGGCAACAGTGACAGAAGAAAATGGCCCACTTTCAAATTGGTATTGGTAGTCTACAAGTTTCAACATGTAGAACATACAAACAATAGAGTGTTAGGTGAACATTCAGAACCTTGGATCACTATACAGAAATACCAAATGCATCCAGACACCAGGCTGAAAGAAGCCATGAAATTCCAGGTGCTGTCAAATAAAAACACTATCTCGTATCAATAATATTGAGGGGTAAAAACCTGAAAGTCCCACAGCACTAAAAAAGTACACATAAGTTTAGATTTCTCACAGAATCATTCCGACATACTGACCAGTGGCGGATCCAGAGTCTGATCTCGGGAAGGTCATTTGTAAATTATTTAAAGAAATAATGGGGGGCTGTGTGTGGGGCAGTGTGTGTGTGTGTGTGTGTGTGGGGCAGTGTGTGTATGGGAGAGCAGTGTATGTGTGTGTGAGGCAATGTGTGTATGGGGAGGCAGTGTGTGAATGTGTATGGTGTGTGTGGGGGCAGTGTATGTGTGCGCGAGGGCAGTGTGTATATGGGGGGCAGTGTATGTTTGTGTGGGGTGACAGTGTATGTGTGTGTGGGGGCAGTGAGAGTGTGTATGGGGGGCAATGTGTGTGTGTGTGTGGGCTGTGTATGTGGGGGCAGTGTGTCTGTATCGGGGGGGCAATGTGTGTGTATGGGGCCGTGTATGGGGGGGCGGTGTGTGAATGTGTAGTGAGGAGGGTAGGGGGGCTTTTTTTATAATTTTTAAAAAATAAATTTATGTCCCCCCCTCCCTTCTTACCTTTATTGAGGGAGGACATTTCTTGATCCCTGGTGGTCTGGTGGGGAATTCCTGGTGGTCCCAGTGGTAAGAGTGAACTCTAGCCCGTAGCTTCAGGGCTAGAGGTCACTCTTGCGAGATTTGGAGCGTTGCCGTAGTAACCGCGGCAACGCTCCGTGCTCGCTAGAGAAGGACCCGGAGGAGCTGCAGGCTGAGCTCTGGGGTCCTCTCTCTCTCTCTCCCTCCCTCCCTACCAGCTGCCCTGACACAGCTCAAGATCTGGGCCCCCAGGGCCAGCTCCGAGTCCAGCTCCGAGTCCGCCCACAAGGATGAAATGTGTGTGTGTGTGTGTGTGTGTATAGTGGATGTAGAATGTGTGTCATGAATGCAGTGTGTATAGTGGATGTGGTATGTGTGTCGTGGATGTGGTATGTGTGTCATGGATGCAGTGTGTACATTTTGTGTAATGTATGTAATGTTTGTATGCATGCATTAGAGTGTGTGCGTAGTGAATGTAGTTGTATAAAGTGAATA